AGTGTGGCAGTTTGGTTGAGTACAGTGATAAAAATTGATAGAATCAAACTGTGAAAGTGGCATACCTGTAGTGGGCAAACATATAGTTCTTTTGCAGTCTGGGGAGTAGTTTGTAAAAATAGCATATGGTTGTGACCAAGCACGTCAGTCCTCAGCCAGGCCTGCGTGCTCATGATACATGGACGCATGTGAACAATAATGTGATCTGATTCTGATCCCTCTCCCTTGTTATATGTCAGATTAAAATAGAGCTATGCGGTGAAATATGTTTGGTGCAGCGTAACAGTAAAGATTTCAATAAAGGTCAGCGGTTCAGCTTGATCCAGAAACTACAGTCAGTTAAAGGGACAGTTCACCCAGAAATGAAAATTCTGTCATCATTTACTCACTCTCAAGTTGTTCCAAACCTGTATGAGTCTTTCTTCTGTTGAACCAATGTTCTTCAAAATATCTTCTTTTGTGTTTAACGGAAGTAAGAAATTCATACTGGTTTGGAACAACATGAGGGTGGGTGATGACAAAATTTTCAGTTTTTGGTGTACTATTCCTTTAAATAATTCTAAATTCATCACTGCACACTAGAGCATAGAACTTAAAGGAATAGTTCAGTACAAGTTAAATAGACAGTTCACTCAAAAATGTAAATTCTGTCATCATTTACTCACCCTCATCTCGTTCCAAACCTGCAGGCCTATGACTTTTTTTTTCACAAAAGAAGATATTTTAGATTGCATGTTACAACATTGAACTCATTGACTTTCACTGTATGGACAAAAAACAGCACAGAGATATTTTTCAAAATAGTCATACAGGTTTGGAATGACATGAGGGTGAGTAAATGATGACAGAATTAGCATTTTTGAGTGAACTGTCTCTTTAAATTGTATTGAACCTGGAACATTCTTTTAACCAGATTGCTACAAGTGCTCCATAAGTCATATTGAGCTTCCTAAATAACTAGAAATGCAATAAAAACATATTTCCTTATGGAAACCTTGTGCATTTAGGTCATGACCTAAATATTTTGATTTCCTAAAAAAGTCTTTGGCCAGAGGGTTATAAAGTCTGTGAGGTAGAGCAGCGGCAAAGAAGCTGCCAAGGCCGACTCACAGCAGGAGTTTAGACTAGGCTCAAACTAGAGACGTCCAAAAGAAATATACAGACGTGGATAGTTCGCTGTACTTTTTATACCGTCTGTGTCTACAGTCAGTCTGAGCAGACTGAACTGAACTGCTGACGCAGCTCCTAATATGCCAGTCTCTTCTAGACTTATATTTTAATGAGATATCCTTGTTCACAGAGGCAGCAACTGCTGTCCACCTGCCTCCAGCAATTGGGCTCTGATTACTCTATTAGATGTGTCTCAGTCAAGTCATGATGCTTCTTTGTCTTTGGAAATTATAATCTGAGTTTTGTTACAATTTAGAGAAGTTTTCAGATAATTAAAATATATATCAAATTTAAGTGACGTTTTCAGATGTGTGCCTCTTAAGGGATACAATCCAGTTTTCCACTGGACATTAATTGAGGGGTCTGGCGTCTTATTCCTCCCCACAGCATTGCATAATTTTCATTTCATAACTTTTTTTTTTTTTTTTTTTACAGGCAACAGAGGGGCTGTTAATAAATAGGAAGTTTTCCCCAAATCCAAATGTTCAGCATGTTCCACAGTTATTAGCTTGTCTTTGTGTATTAGGTAAGAGATTGGTACAAACACAGAGTCTCTCTGCGAAACTGTCTTAAGAAACTCTGGACTCAAGTGCTCTTCTTCTTTACTTCTCCGGGACCCTAATGAGTCACAATGACCCACTAAATTAAACACAACCTCTCAAACATGTATTGAGATCATCAGATTTGTGAACACTGTGTGTGTGTGTGTGTGTCATTCAGTATTTCCAGTCACAATTGAGCATAAAGAGTTTAAACAAGTTTAGCTCACAGTACTGCCATCTGTGTAGTTTGTTGTACCTTTCGGTAGATATTTTACTTTTTGACCACTTTGAATTAAGCTTCTTCATAACTGTTTCTCTGACTCAATGAGACCGTGCCGTTTCTCTTCAGCAGCGATGTTTTAATGGTTCTGACGTATGTCCATGTGTAAAAGACTATAAATTCATAGAATTAATTGGAAAAATATACAAAATGCCATACTTTTCCATTAAACATGTTATAAACACTAGGCTGTAACAGTTTTTTTTTCTCCCCTTCTTGCTTTAAACCTGATCTGTCTGTTGTGGCAGAACTTGGCACCATCACTCTAGTTAGGTTTGGCAAACATTAAATGTTAGCAATTGGGACATTGTGAGTGGAAAATCTGACTGCTTTTGTCCTCCTTAAATGATGCCATTGTGATTTTATTAAATTAGATTTTGACTCGTGGCAAACACTGGAAAAAGTCTCAACTGGTCCAGCCAGCTGGAAAACAATACTAGAAGCAGAGCTCCTCAAAAACACATAAAAAGATATGTGTCACCTAATAAATGATAGGCGTTCAGAGATACACATCTAATGTATCATGGGGAGATTTTACCATTTAGATATTTATTTATTTATTTATTTATTTATTTATTACTATTGTTTTTATAATATAATATAATATCAAATGTAATGTAATATTAAATGCAATATAATATAATTCATAATAAGTTAATTTACTATTTTATTATAAAACGGACAAAAAAAACATCAGACTTCTTTATAATAATAATAATAATAATGTTTTTGATATTTATTTATTAGAAAATATAAATTAATACAGTATAAAAATATAATATACAGTTAATACAAAAAATAAATATTAATAAATTAATAAACGATTAAATATGAATTTATTCTAAAACAACAAATATCAAATACTTTATTATTATTATTATTTTAAAATATCAAAAGCATCATAATACATTTATTTTATTGTTATTTATTGTTGTTATTTATTTATTATTGTTGTATATTAACATTTGTTATAACATTTGATCAATTCTAAGCTTTTTTCTAAGCAAACTCAAACATTGATGACTTTGTGTCAGTTCCTTGACGGCACTTGTTCGCGCTAACGACCTCTCAAATGACATCACTTCCCATCACTTCTTTCAGATGCGAGTGCTTCAGATTGTTTGTACAGTGGTAAAGGTCAAGGTCTGACCTGACGTCTACAGGCTGTCAGGTGCCTCCTTACTGAATAAAGCGAGCTGCCCTTGCTTGCCAAAAGATAGTGGATTTTGTGGATGAAGCCTGTTGGATAGGGATGAGAGAGCTTGCTGAGAATAGATCTGTGGCCCCAGTGCGCAGCGAGTGGTCTGGAATCCCAGCCTGCCCCTGTGGATCGGGCCAGGGAGATTCTGTACATGACTGGAGGATCACCCACACAGCTGCCAGAACCATACACACACACACACACTAGTACACTTCGCCACCTACTTAGAGCCCTGAGGAGCACACCTAACACACATGTGCAGACACACACATTGAGAGCATATGTGGCATCTCACCCGTTCACATGTGATCTCATATACATCTGTCTGAATGACTAAATGTTATTTCATTCAGACCATTGTTTCCTTTTAAACAAGAGGTTAATCATGTCTTTATTTAATACATGATCTAAAACCTATTCCACGTACTTTGCCCTGACCTTCCTGTGACTGGCCCCGTTCTATTTCTGTTTATCCAATGTGTAACGCTGGACAGGCATTTGGACGAGAGCACAGTAATACCTCTGAGATCAAAGCGGTTTGTGGTATGACGCTAACATGGAGTAATTTATAGATTCGGTCTGTGTCAGTTGCGCCGTTCCGCTCCGCTAAAATCACGCACGCACTTTGGTACTCTCAGAGGGCAACGATGTCAGCACGTCCTCGTAACCTCAGATTTATGTTTAAAGTCAACTAGCTTCTCCTCATTCCCTGGCCCGGCCTTCGCACTATTGTTGTGTGATGTATGTGATTATGTTTTTGTCATTTAAAGCTATCTGAACATGGACGGAAACACTAAATATTTGGTGTAAATGCACGGCTTTAATTGGTGATGTGTCTTTGGGGAAATTAGTGGCTGAATGTGATAGAGACGGGGAACAGACACTTAGTACACTGGAGCACGGCGTGCTCAGACAGCTGGAGCCGTCTCTCATCTCTGCACCTGCTCTGTTCTCCCTTGTGTCCTCCCTCAGAGAGAAAGGAAAAGAGAGAGATAGAAACCACTAGCACCTGCTGTGTGAAAAATATGACAGATAAAGAAGCCGGAGTTGAAAAAATAAAATATCATTTAAAATATCATTTAAAATTTTTTTTTTTAAATATATATATTTGCATTTTATAATTTATTTCTTAATTAATTCATGTAAACTATGACAAAGAGGTCTGCATTGACTTAAATTATTTAATATATATTCATTATTATACATATATAGTCTATATTTTTAATTTTAATTTAATTCATATCTAATAATAATAATTTATGAAGTCATATTTAATAAAATAAAACATTTTGTCTCAGGCTCTGACAACAAGAAGGGTTGAACTGAAAGGTCTGAGAAGATAGATAGACCCTTTTCACAAACTTTGAGGATGTGTTTCAATGGCCATCAGAATAGTAAATCCTGCAAAGTTTTTAATATTTAATTTTTTTTTTAAACATTTGACATTCTTCTCTCTTCTGACTGCCATTATCAATCTCTGTCTATATTTTCTTCTTTTTGAAAGTCATGAAAACATCCTCGTAGAGTTCTTCTTTTGCTGTTTGAGCTAATGGAAATGCAAAAAATATATTTGATGTGGTCTCCTGTTCACCGCTATAGAAGTTTACCCAACTATGACGACTTCCACTTCTGCGAAACCCCGAAATGTGAAAAGACTCCACTGAAAACCTTAAACAATCAAACAGTCTAATGCATGGATAATTTCACAAGAATTAATGCATCCATACATGAACTACCGCTGGTACTTTTAGAAAAGGTTTTGTTGATGTTAACTGCTTTGACCTGATATTTTCTATCTTTCGTTCAGAGTTACTGGAGACAAAAACCATACGGCCGTTCAGTTTCTCCTTCAACACCAGCGACTACAGAATCCTGCATATGGACCAAGACCAAGGCCGGCTCTACCTGGGCAGCCGTGAATATCTGGTCTCTCTAGACATGCAAAATGTCAATAAAGAACCCCTTATTGTAAGACGCTATACAGTTATTTTAATTCTTTTCTTATAATGATTGAGTTAATTTACGTATTCCAATTGTATGGTAGTTCAGTGGTACCTTTTTTAGTGATTATGGTATAGTATTTTAAATAGCATAGTATTTTAAGGTTTGTGTGTTTTCAGATTCACTGGCCAGCAACAGCACAAAGAAAAGGGGAGTGTAAATTAACTGGCAAAGGTGGACAGGTACACTTTTACAGTCTGTTTTTATTTAGTATTGAATCATTTTGACACAGAAAAAGATTCACTGCTAAAATACATTGTTTTTCCTCATGTGTGTGTGTTCTCAGGGAGAGTGTGCTAATTTTGTGCGTCTGATTGAGCCGTGGAACAGGACTCACCTGTACACCTGCGGCACAGGAGCTTATAAACCCATCTGCACCTTCGTCAACAGAGGCTGGAGAGCTGAGGTACACACATAATATTTACAGTACAGCAGTAATATTCAGCAGTAACAAAGATGGTCAATACAAAAACACGTTTTAGATATTTTTATTTTGTTTGATGCATTTTTTTAAGATTTTGAATAATTTGGTTAAAATTTCATCTTTTTTACACATATAAATGACGATTAGCGTCTGATTGAGCCGTGGAACAGGACTCACCTGTACACCTGCGGCACAGGAGCTTATAAACCCATCTGCACCTTCGTCAACAGAGGCTGGAGAGCTGAGGTACACACATAATATTTACAGTACAGCAGTAATATTCAGCAGTAACAAAGATGGTCAATACAAAAACACTTTTTAGATATTTTTATTTTGTTTGATGCATTTTTTTTAAGATTTTGAATAATTTGGTTAAAATTTCATATTTTTTACACATATAAATGACGATTAGCTCTGCAGTACAGACACTTTTATACTAATAAGTTGTGTGTGTGATTGTGTAGGAATACTTGTTCCGGCTGGTTCCTGGTTATGTGGACTCTGGAAAAGGAAAGTCTCCTTACGATCCCCGCCAGGAAAACGCAGCAGCTTTGATAAGTGAGACTCTCTCTTTCTCCTGCTCTCTTGTTTCTCTCATAGTAAAAGTATGTAGTCAAGCTCCAAAAAGCACAAATGCGATTTTGAAGCTATTACTCCAGTCTTCGGTGTCATATGATCCTTCAGAAATCATTCTAATATCTAATTTGCTGCCTAAGAAACAGTATTTTATTATTATCAATGCTGAAAACATTTGTGCTGCTTAATGTTTTTGTGGAAACTATGATATTTTTTCAGGATTCTTTGATTAATAGAAAGTTCAACAGGACAGCATTTATTTGAAAAACACATTTTTGAAACAATATGTGTTTTTTTGTGTGTCAATTTTATGCATCCTTGCTGAATAAAAGTATCAATTTCTTTCAAAGAAATAATCTTTGTAGAGTAAAACTTGTGCAGTTGTTTAAATCTATAAAATCAAAGGTTTTAGTACCTGATTTAGAAATGGAAATTTCCTTCAGACATATTTATGAAGTTATTTTTTTTTAAATACTTAACCAGTGACCTTGATCGACTGGAGTCCTGGAAATTCCTTGGTCAAAAGTGTGGGAACTATTCTGTTAAGCACTTTGTTGTATGAGAGTCTTCAAGCAGTATAAATGGGCCAGTAGTATAAATTTAGCCAGTCTTCATCCATCATGATCGCTTTCTCTCCACATTACACTCATTCTACCCTCTTCAGATGGGAACCTGTATGCTGGAGTACATGTGGACTTTATGGGTACAGATCCAGCCATCTTCAGAACCTTGGGAGACCGTCCCGCTGTCAGAACCGAGCAGTATGATTCCCGATGGTTGAATGGTATGATATAAGCAGAGGAGTGAAGTGATTAAAATGAAAAGACAGACCTGTGACAAATATTATCCTTTTTATCTCTTTACAAATCCCTTTATCTCTCCATCAGAGCCTGTGTTTATAAAAATCCAGAAGATTCCAGACAGTGCAGAGAAGAATGATGATAAGCTTTACTTCTTCTTTCGGGAGAAGAGTTTAGATGCTTCAGGGGGCAGCGCTCCGAGCGTCCTCGCGAGAGTAGGCCGAGTCTGTCTGGTGAGAAAATCCAGATGCTAGACACAAGACTTGACTTAATAATCAATATTAAGCATGATGATTTTTGTCATGCAAATCATTATGCAAATCAGATGAACCCATGGTTTGTTTAAAGTCTAATCTTTTTTTTCCTGTTTGTGTGCTTTCCCTTTTAGAATGATGATGGAGGTCAGAGGTCATTGGTGAATAAGTGGACAACGTTCCTCAAAGCACGACTGGTCTGTTCTGTGATTGGTGCAGATGGTGTTGAGACTTACTTTGATGAACTGAGTATGGCATATGTTTTTCTCTTCAACATGATCATGTTCTTAATCTGTCTCTGATGCCTGATGTCTGTTTGTTTTGAAGGAGATGTTTTCATCCAGAGGACACATGATGAACGGAACCCCATTGTGTATGCTGTGTTCTCCACAGCTGGGTGAGAAAACCTCTCATACACAGATCTAAAATCTAAACATCTTGTAGTCAGAAAGATATTAATACTTTATTCAGCAAGGACACATTAAATTGAACAAAAGTGAAAAGTAAAGAGATTTATAATGTTACAAAAAAAAGTCTATTTCAAACAAATGCTGTTCTTTTGAACTTTCTATTCATCCAAGAATCCTGGAAAAAAAGGAACATGGTTTCCACAAAAATATTAAGCAGCACAACTGTTTTCAACGTTAATAATAATACTAATAATATTTCCTGAGCACCAAATAAGCATTATTAAAATTATTTCTGAAGACTGGAGTAATGTCTGCTAAAAAATATTAATGATTTACAGTATTTTCAATAAAATAAATATAGCCTTGGTAGGCATGAGACACTTTTTCCATAACACAATTTTAAAAAATCCAAAATAAGAATTTTTTCATTACATACTGGCCTTCAACCATTCCAAACACTTTTGACTTAATTTCATAAAAGAATATATTTAGCTTTTTCCCCTCAAAAAATTTACTTTAGATTTTCCCATTTAATGTATGGAAATTAATATAATATGGAATATTACCCTTGGATATCATATGGAAAACTTAGTTCAAAAGGCAAATAAAATTACTTCTCTGCTACTTTTCTGTCTCTTCAGAGCTTGACGGTCACATGTTTGTTTTGTTTTATGGAAAAGAGCCGTTGCCAACATGTTATTTCATTGTGAAGCAATAAATATTAGTACTAAAGTAAGCAAAATCAATAAAATGAGCAAGTTCAAAATAAACAGTGAAAAAATGAGTTTTAATGTATCTAACTGATTATTTAGCTTTGAAATCCCTGGGTTGAGTCAGTGTAACATCTCTATTCCTTTCAGATCAGTGTTTATATTGATTGTTTTTTGTTAAATGAGTTATGATGCCATTGCTGTTTCTCTGTTTTTCTCTCTAGCTCTGTGTTTAAAGGCTCTGCCGTGTGTGTGTACTCAATGGCAGACATCAGAAATGTCTTCAATGGACCCTTCTCTCACAAACATGGCCACAACTACCAGTGGACACCTTATACTGGCAAAATTCCTTACCCTCGCCCAGGGACTGTGAGTATTGCTTATGAAATCCAGTTTGGTACCTTATTAATTCTTTGTTGATATCTCATTCTATTTAGCTCTTTCTGCATGTTTTTACTGCTCAGTGTCCTGGAGGAACCTTCACCCCTGATCTCCACACCACTAAAGCCTTCTCTGACGAGGCTGTAAACTTTGTACGCGCCCATCCGCTTATGTATCAACCTATTTATCCAATACACAAGCGCCCACTGGTGGTCAGGACTGGAGTTGACTACCGTTTCACCACTATTGCTGTGGATCTGGTGGATGCTGTGGATGGAAGATACGAGGTGCTCTTCCTGGGCACAGGTTAGACATTTCTGATCATATCAGATTCTTTCTAATTAGTTACATGCAGGATGATTTCTTCCTGAAGTTGCATGAGAAGGTGCAGCATTGCAACATGAACCACCTAATTTGTACAGCTTATAAAACATGGCCAATCTGATCTGGTATCTGGTTTACTCATGATTCACCTTGAACTTTAGATCGTGGCACAGTCCAGAAGGTGACTGTATTACCAAAAGACATCAGCACAACAGAAGAGCTCATTTTGGAAGAGGTTGAGGTTTTTAAGGTACAAAAGTACAGATTTTTGCTGAATTTTTGCTATTGGGTAGGAATTACCCTAAAATACCATAATGCATGATTTTGAATGTTTTGAAATTTCTCCCTCTATTTTGCTCAGACTCCAGCTGCTGTCAAAACTCTGAAGATTTCTTCTAAAAGGGTAAATATAGTTATAGTAAAATCATTATTTTAGTATCATTTGATATACTGTATATTATAGTTAATTTTGAATTAGATTTTATTTTGATATATTATATTTTGTAAATTGTTGTCCTTTTTATTAGCCTTTTATTAGGTCTTTTAATATATATGTATGTATATATATATATATATATATAATTCCAAGTAATTCAATTTTTTTTGAAGCTTTAGTTAATATGATAACAATCCTGCATTAAGCACAATTTTCTTACTGTTCAAGCTGTGACACTAATACAAATCAGTATTCAAATCAGTCAACATTTTCTCTTTCTCTCTTGTGGTTTACAGCAACAGTTGTACGTGTCTTCAGAAAGGGGTCTTACCCAGGTGTCCCTGCACAGGTGTGCCGTTTATGGCAAGGCCTGTTCAGACTGCTGCCTGGCCCGCGACCCCTACTGTGCCTGGGATGGAGAACACTGCTCTGCTTTCACCCCGGCTACCAAGAGGTCAGACCACATTAATTTACCCCACTGGGTGGTCCATGGTCCAAACTGTGTTCAAATGAATTTCTTGACTTCATTAACTGTCTATTTTAATGCTGATAACACGGTCAGTAGGCTACATGTACAATGCATATTGGTCTTCATCAGATGTGCTGAAGAGAAACAGAATAGAAAATAAACAGTCTGATTAACAGCAATTTCACAGTTGAAATAGTCATTAAGCTTTTAACCATGAAATCATTTGTGAATGAATCTTTAGGAGAAGCAGAAGGCAAGATATCAAACACGGAGATCCTCTACGGCAGTGCAGAGGATTCAATGCTAAAGGTTTGTAAACAGCCTCTCATTTGATACTGAATAATGATGCAGGAGATCTTCAGAAACTTGAATGTGGCCCTTCTCTGACCCTCTCAGTAGAGAAGCGTCTGAGGGAGACGGTGCAGTTTGGGGTTGAGGGGAGCAGCACGTTCCTGGAGTGCCAGCCAAGATCTCCGCAGGCCTCCGTTAAATGGCTCTACCAGAAGGACGGCAAGCGAAAAGCAGTAAGACACTGATGTTACCATTATAAGGCTTTAAATGGATAGTTCACCCAAAAATGTTAGAAGAAACATTATTTCAGTGAAAAAATATCAAATGTGAAGTTTCACACAGGGACACAATATATGCTTTTTCACTATGAATTAGATGATTTGTTCTTTTTCACTTTCAAAAACTGTTATACTTCAAAGGGATAGTTCACCCAAAAATGAAAATTCTGTCATTAATTACTCACTCTCATGTCGTTCCAAACCCATAAGACCTTCGTTCATCTTCGGAACGCAAATTAAGATATTTTTCATGAAATCCGAGAGCTTTCTGACCCTGCATATACAGCAATGGAACTACCACATTCAAGGCCCAGAAAGGTAGTAAGGGCATCGTTAAAATAGTCCATGTGACATCAGTGGTTCAACCTTAATTTAATGAAGCTACAAGAATACTTTTTGTGTGCAAAGAAAACAAAAATAATGACTTTATTCAACAACACCACACGCATGTATGGTGGTACTCTCGTGAACGTGGGTTGAAGACAGACACGGAAGAGAAGAAATTGTTATTTTTGTTTTCTTTGCACACAAAAAGTATTCTTGCAGCTTTAAAAAAATTACGGTTGAACCACTGATGTCACATGGACTATTTTA